CGACGTGATCATGAATCCTGGTGGTCTAAACAGGCCAATGAAATGGAAGTTGCTGCCTCTGCTGGTAATAGCCGCAGGTTGTTTTCTCATCAGATCCACCGGACGTAAAGTTCAGGCCATCAGTCAGACCATCTGTGAGTCAGAGGGTACAAAGATCACCAACCTACGCAGACGCTTGGATCGCTGGGCAGAGCACGTTGCTCTACAGTTTACTTTCACAACACAACCTCCGGTTACACATCCACTGCCATCATGTAATCCTTGGTCAGTCTGCATAGATTCTCCCACTGAAGCAGAAGTACGGAAAGAAATCCAGATTCTGAAACGCCACAAAGCTCCTGGCCTTGACAGTCTTCCTCCGGCCTTATTCAAAGATGGGGGGAACTTAGTTGTCACCAAAATTCTATCACTGTTCACAAAGGTATAGAGCGATGAGAAGGTTCCTAACTCATGGGGAGAATCTGTTGTGGTTCCGATCCACAAGAAGAGCTAACGTAGTGAATGCACCAACTACCGAGAAATCTCACTTATCTCTGTCGTGGCCAAGCTCTTTGTGTTCATTCTGCTGCGTAGGCTCTCAGTCACCCGCGAGAGTTTGTCGTGAGGTTGCATTGACTAAATTTTCACGTTGCGTCAAATTCTCGAACATCGTCATGTCTACCGAAGACCAGCAATGGTGGTGTTTTTGGATATCCGAGCCGCTTTTGATTCAGTAGACAGGTCGTCACTATGAAACTCTGCTATGGAACGGCATTCCCGACAAGTTTGTCATACTCTTGAAAGAGCTGTACAGTCACACCTCTGGCAAAGTTACAGCTTATGAAAGGATTCTTCTTCCTTTCCCGTTACCAGTGGAGTGCGCCAAGGTTGTCCTATCTCGCCGTTCCTGTTCAACTTTGCCATTGAAGATGTCCTCCATCGCGCACTGGAAGGAGGCCAGAACTGCGGCGGGAGTAGAGTCGTGGACCTGGACTATGCTGATGACATCGCTTTGCTGGGGGACGACTCGCAGGTTGTTCAAAACATTCTGAACCGCATAGCAATAGTGGCATCTAACGGTCTGCATTTTGCTCCATCCAAGTGTTAAGCTTTGTTTCAGAATTGGCACGCTAATGTGCCTACGCTCATCATTTCGGGTGTCAGCCTGGAGCTCGTTAACAGCTTTACTTACCGCGGGAGTTGCATTACGGCTGGTAGCGGTATTGGCGATGAAATTTCACAACGAATTGCCAAAGCTCGCCTTGCATTTACTAACCTGAGACACTTGTGGCATCGTCGCGATGTCAGTCTCAAGCTCAGAGGCCGAGTGTACAATGCCACAGTCCGTGCTGTCCTACTGTACGGTTGCGAGACCTGGTCTGTTCGATCGGAAGATTTGAGACGACTATCTACTTTCGACAACCGTTGCTTGCGTTCGATTCTGGCGAATGGTGGCAGCACCTTGTGAGCAACACGGAAGTTAGAAGCAGAATCATGGGAGCGGACAGTCCTGGTCACCAGAGTATAATCATCCAACACCAATTGCGTTGGCTTGGTCACGCACTGCACACGCCGGCCCACCGCCTTCCACGTCGCGCATTATCTGCACTTCCTGAACGCGAATGGAAAAAGAGCAGCGGCGGACAACTGATGACCTGGAAAAGGAGTATGAAGACCCTAACTTCGTGTCAAGCGTCAGTTGGATCTGTGCGTCTACCAGGCTGAGGACCACGTGAAGCGGATTCCCAATGGTTGGAAGTCTTGGAAGATATGGCCCGTAATAGGAGTCAGTGGCGTCAATGCTGTTCTACCATCTCTTCATCGTGTGCTTTTTAATGTTGAACAAAACATGAAAACAGAAATATAACTCAAAACGACGTGTGCGAAAACGAAAAAAAAACATTTTTTCTAACCTTTTACTCGCTCTCCCCGTTAAACATTACATTCTCCTTTCCATACCACCATGGTTCCTATGGCACATTTGTCAGTTTACAGAATATGGAATATATATATATATATAATATATATATATATATGCAAGCAATTTGGAGGCGATGGATATCAGACTGATTCCTCTATGGTTGCTGCATTCCGATCGTGAGCCTCCCTTGAAAATTGGGACTATGACGGAGCGGCTCCAGTCGGTTGGGACAGTTTCCTGCTCCCACAGTTTGACTAGTAACTCGTGTAAATCATCCACAACAGCAGGTCCCCCGAATTTGAAGAGGGCTGGAGGAAATCATCAGGTCCCGCGGCTTTGTTTAACTTCAACAGTTCGATCTCACGTTTGACTTCTGAGCGAGAGGGTGGATCCAAAGGGACAGCCCAGGGAGCAAGGCGATCAGTGGCCGGCGAGAAATCTAACCATTCAGGTCGATTAAATTGCCTTGCAAAGTGCTCAGCCCAACGCTCTAAGCGTTTTGATGAGTAGTGGATAGGCTATCCACTCTCGTCAGGTATAGTTCCACTAACACCAGGTCTCCTGCTGCCCGTTTCCAGTATCAGACGGAATAACTTACGATGGTTACCAAGGGCAGCGGCCATTTCCATCTCTGATGCACGATGAGACCACCAGGATTCGCGGTCTCTCTTCAAGCTAGCACGGAGTTTTGCCCGGAGCTCTTTGCGAGTTTCATTGTGTTCGCTTCCAGCCGGAATATGCCGGCGAGCATCTATAAGCTCCAAAGACTGTGAAGTGACCCAATGTTCGTGTTGGCGATTAGACATACCACATGAGGATTTTCCTGCTGCTAGTAAGGTCTGGTGAATATGAGACCAGTGACCTTCAATTGCGTCCAGTGAGCGTTTATCCAACTCGCATGACAGCGTACTTTGATACGCATTCAGAACAGCTGGCTTCGCCAGTTGGCTGGTGTCAATGCGCTCACAACGTCGTTTTGGGCGTCCGCCAAAGCGCATCCGCAGGTCAGCACATACAAGTGCATGGTCGGTGTCCACACCTGTGCTCCAAATCGAGCGACAGTTCTGGACGCAACCTGTCCATCGGTAACTTATCGCAATGTGATCAATTTGCGTCCATAGCTGATTCGAGGCTGGTGGGCGCCAAGTAACCCTCCGGCGCGTGCTGTGTCCGAAATTAGTGCTCGCAAGAAATAAGCGAGCATGCTCACACAAATGAAGTGACCGCTCACCGTTATCATTACGGGAGCCTATACCATGTTGGCCGCCAAAATGCAGCTCATCTGTGGATGATTTTCCAACTTGAGCGTTCAGATCCCCAGCCAGCACTACAGTGTCCGAGCTTCTTCTGTGGCTAAGGAGCTCGTTCAGTTGACGATAGAAGTCGTCTTTTACCGAGTCATCGCTACAGTTTGTCGGTGCATAGACAGCGATAACGAATAGACACCTGTTAGTCCCACGTGACTTCGAAGCTTTGAACGAGCCAGCCAATCGGACCGCACACATCCGGCTACTAATTGGAATCCAATCAACCAGAGTAGCTTCAGCCCGGGGACTCAGGGCAATACCAACACCGGCTTGGCCGGTGCTCGAAGCTGCATCGTCACCGGATAGGCGCAATGAGAAAGTGCTGCTAGTCTCACCTGAAGGGGATCGCAGAGTGAGTACAGAGCTAGAGTCTTGCAGGCGGGTCTCCGATAAGCAGCAGATATCGATTGAGAGGGTCTCCAATGTTCGGGCAAGTGCTGCCTGTTGACCGATCTGTAGTAATGTGCGAACATTGAGACATGCCAATCTGAAGGAGGATCGAGGGCTCCAAATGGAAGCCGATGAACTGGAATGGACCGCTTGCTTGGACATGGGCCTGCTGACAGGGCAGGAATGACGCTCCGCGTTCACATGTGAGTTGAAACTAAAAGACAAGCGACTATTGAAGCAAGTTGGGGGAGGGCCGAGAATTGGGGGGTTGAAAACAGGGGGGATAAAAGCGAAGCTGGAACGGGACGATAAGGGTGAGAAAACGCAAGAGGGGGAATAAGAAGACGGGGAGGCTTCAGCAGTAGCATCCAAACCCCTATCCACCCTGCTCGATGCAGCAGATAGGGCACCGTTGATTATCCTCTGCGGTGGCCAGAGCATCAGAAATTTGTTTGAAGTGAGATTCATTGTATAGCGTGGGCAGGATACTGTCAGGTTGCCCAGGCCTAGACAGGAGAACGATTAGGGTTCTCAACCAAAGCCTTTGGTTCAAAAACCTGACCGCAAGGCAGCGGGTTTGGCATTGGGCTACAAGGAGTCCGTTTTAAGGAATAAGGAGCCACCCTCATTACAACCCACAACCTGGAGGACCAGGAGGCTGAGTTTGTCTGGCCTCTGACCATTGACCAATCTGGTATGGGTGGCTCTGAAGATGCAAAAATGCACCACCTAGTATAGCTCAATGGATCACTGAAGCACACAAACCATCGCACCACGGTAAGGTCCAGCTTCATTGCGATGGACAGATTAAGCTCGGAATAAAAGCAAACAGGTTGTCAATTGAAGGCACCTGTGCACTTTCTTGAACCTCAACTGGGTATAAGCAAGGTGTCGCAAATACGGCAGAGTCAGCATCACAAGAAATGTGTGACACTCGACTGTCAGGAGCAGATTCATCTCGAGGATACCGTTCTGCCCTTGCGCACCGGGGGCACTCACTGCATTGCGTGCTGACTAACCAGATACGAGAGCGAAAGCTGATAGGCCTAAAGGAGAAAGGGACAGTAGCCTTGGCTGTGTCTGAAAGGGCCAGAGATGGTTGGAGGGTTAAAGAGAACGGGGAGCATTTCGAAGGGGATGAGTGAAAAGAGCACTACAGACGAAGCGAAGTGGATAGACAATACCTTTTGTCCAAACCAAGATATAATAAGACAAATATATCGTTCTACCTGGGAAAGCGCCTGCATTAAAGGACATATAAGTGCTAAAATGGAACAGTAAAACTGATCAGGATAAATGAGTGGTGAAGCCATTTAGAAGTCGTTCAGTGTTCATATTGAAGAAAAAAACTGCAGTATGTTGTCAAATAAGTACCAGTACTCAAAAAATGGAGGAAACATTACCTTCGTGGGTTATATTGATGTGCCTGTGTAAGGAACGTATCGTAGGGAATGACTGTCCACAAAGACAGCATAGACTGAATTGTTCATCTGCCAATACGGAAAAGAGAAAGTCTAAGAGAGCCATGTGCGAACTAGGTTTAAAGCCGTTAAACATTAGAAGGCGTTATCATTCAACGGAAATGTGTTGCAGTATGGCAGCCAACGATGGTCAACATTCAATTCTGGGTCGCAATAGCCAGCAGTTATCACCATCATTATGCGCAACAAATTCCGCTGATGCCGATGAATAATGAACGTGACTTGATTAGTACGGATGGAGTAACAATCATAGTCAGTGTGCACATATACCAAGCGAATATATTTACTTTATGGATATGAAGATATATGTAAACTATTTGGACAAGTAAGATACGCACCCTCTGAAAGCTGGCTATCCCGGATGGAATCACTGTGTATCTTTTCTAAAGCCTGTGGAGATTAGAAAAAAATCCCTTGACTACGCACCATGGATCCCAGGAGCGTGTTCATAACGACGCGCACAAAATGGAAACGGAGGAAGGGTAGCTATCTGTGTAGTATGTTTCCGGTCGAAAATTCCAAGGGCATCTGTCCAGGGCGTAAGTAGGTCGTAATGGACCGAGGGAGCTGAAATGCAAAACAGATACTTCATTGAGTTATAAGGCAGAAGGGAGGTCCTATGTTAGTCCCACCGTCTTCAATTCAGCACAGGAGCAAGTATGTCGTCGAGGCCCGGTAGTCCTCAGGGGACCGGAGGCCACAGTAACACAGAACTGGTTCAGGTAGTTTACGTAGGTGAGTGTCCAAGAGCCATAGGTGGTTGATTAGTTTAATCACAACCATGTAGTAAGAGAAAAAGCAGGGTGGATGATGCTTCTGAATTACATTTCGTGGCGAGTCCAGATGCCGTTGTCCCAGCTGCCGATGGAGGGCCGAGTGTGGTTTGCGTCCGATCCTAGGCTCGACGGTCTCCCAGATCCAATGTGTGAAGTAGACCGCAATAGACCTGCAAAACTGCAATGTAAAACAAATACCCCGTAGGCGGTTGGCTGCCGCTATCTCAACCATCTAGTGAGAATGTAGTTAATAAGATGTGGGTATTAATATCCGGCAAACAGACAACGAGAAAAGCACGGTACAGTGTCAAGCTCGGGGTGTGGAAGAAGGGATGAAGAGAAACAATAACGCCATTGTTCGTCTAGCAGGTCCCACCGTTAGCCAAAGTAATTAGGACTTAAAGGGGAGCCTGATAACAGGTGAATCCAATAAGCGAATATTCTGGTGCGTCATAAGAACATTTGTTACAATACCCCTGCACATAGCAAATTCTGTCTTCGGCGTCATGGATAATGCTCATACTTTAGTTTGTTGACATGCACCATAGTTGACGAGTCCGATGTACCCGGCCTCATGATACGATCTGACAACACATTCTCTACGATGTAAAGTCCATCCCAGTTTCAATGGAACTTCGTACGAACGGCTGATGATGTTGCGAGCGCCTTGAGCCAAACGTTATCACTAGGTTGGTAAGGATTTCCGAAAGATTTGCGGTCAAAGTAAGCTCTCTGGTCGCGCTTCGAGCTCTCCAAGTGCGCTTGGACTAACTGGTGCGAGTGTATCAGGCATGATTTCATCCGGAGTATATGGTCAGATGTGACCAGGAGTTCGTGGTGTGACGTCCGCAGTAGCGCGTCCGAGGGTAGTCGCAGCTCTTGTCCTGTCATTCTGAGATGATGTGTGGCTAGTCGATGAATGGATAGAAGCTTAGCAAGCCAGTAAACACTCTGAGTATTAAGAAATGTCTGAAACAATGTTTTGAGTATATGGTACGTGCGCTCGACAGTGCATTTCTTTCTGCATTTCCTCCGGAAGCCAAAAAATGTGGCACAACTTGCTCATGTGTATACTTCTAAAGTTCGATCTGCGATCGGAATGTAAATGGTAAGCAGTATGGCTCACATGTGGTGGGAACACCGCGTGAGCAACGAGCGTGTTCGACGCCTTGTTTACGGAACAGGAAAAGGAAATGAACCGCTCAGCACCGTCATTTCATGCACTAGGCTCGGCCACGTGTTGCGCATGCCATCCCACCGACTCCCGCGACATGCATTGTTTGCCCACCGGGGGTGTGGATGGAAGAAGAGGAGGGGTGGTTAAGCGATGAGTTTGTCGAAAGGAATGAAGGCCCTCACTTCGGATCTGGCTTCGGTAGAAGGTTTACGGCTCCCTCGTTGGAGTCCAAAAGACGATGACACACGTTTGGCAAGATACACTTTCTGACATGGCTAGGAGCCGACCTCAGTGGCGTTCGTGCTGTGAGTTTCTTTGTCCCTCCCCATCCCTTTTAGCATCCATCTCCAAACCACGATCTTATTTCGTAGCGTAATATAACTTTACATAATAATTTTTCTTGTTGCCTAGTAGCCGGCCGGTAGGTTTCTGGAACGATGCCTATCCGTTGCTGGTGGCTCAGCTGGCATGCAACTTGTATTTTTTTCTTTTGTGTACTGCGGCACGGTGGCTGAGGTGCTTTACACCTCTAGCTAACGTGTAGAATGATGATGGCAAGCTGATCCTCGTACTAATCTATCACCGAAAAATGTTTTTTGCCACGCTCCATGCGTCTATGCTATGTAGTAGGATCATTTCACACCACTTGGTGAAGTGGGCTACAATTATTAGAACATAAGCATGTCCTCTTGCGGTCTCTGATAGCGACGCCACAATGTCGAGGCTAACCAGCTCGTTCGAGAACCAAGCAGTTATTGATGCAGCGGCCCACGGCATGCTGGTGTAGGGTTCATGCTTCGTGGACAATCGGCGCATGATTGTCAGTAAGTTGCGATGGCACGCCGTAAGTGTGGCCACCAGAAGCGGCGGACAATAGGCACATCTATCTTGTTTTGTCCCACATGTCCTAATTCTTTGTGTACTCTTCACATCACTTCCTGAGTTGCGGCTGTGTGAAAAAGTTTCCGCGAGTAGGTGGGTCTACTTCGAAAGTACGTGATTCCCTCCGTCATGGGATCAAACATACCACAGGTATTTCATTTCCCAACTGGCATCGGACAACACGTCATACGTTGGCCTGTCTTTGCCTTGTGCGATGCGGTAGCAAAGCAGATACAACGCCGTCGAGGAAGATTGCGGACACTTATGTGGTCGTGCGAGACCCGCGATTCCTATCAGGCCTCGGTGACAAGGCATAAGCATTTGCATGCCAACCATCTTTCATCTCTTCCCCGCATGGCGAAGAATATTGACATCGTGGTTGATGCTGATGACCTGAATGCCCAATTGGGTCGCCTTTCAGATTCTGACCATTTGGGAGGCTATTTCGGAGTCGATGCATGCCGAACATGCAATGGCGTTCGAATTGTGCAACTGTGTGGCGACCAAAAACTTTATATTAGCAGCATTGCATTCCAGCACCAACATTTGAGCCGCGTCACCTGGCGCCCACTGAATTCCTCAGTGACCTGGACCAAAATAGACCATATTGCCATCAAATAAAGGTGGCGCACATCAGTCCAAAACTATCGATCAAGTTGAAGCAAAAACCTGAATTCCGACCATGCTCTAGTGCGTGCGGGCTTTGCGCTCACTCCTTCCGCTTCAAAAAGCGCCGTACTTCTAACCTATTTTACCAGTAACTTGAACCTGTAGTCTGCGGTTCCACCATATCATAACGAACTGGCCCACCAACTGTCAGTGATAATGAGGTTGGTGACCCGAACGCCGGTGGGGATTGTCTCAAATGTGCCACGAAGAATGCCTTTGACGCTTGTTGTGCACTCAACTTGAGAGGTGGTAAATTTAAATGGATCTCTGAAGCACCAATGAGCTTGATCGAAGCGCGTAAATGGGTCCCGATGGGCACTGAGTTTTAGTATAACCGTCGCAACGAGACTGGACCTTAACGTGCTGCGACGGTTTGCGTGCCTCATTGACCCATTGAGCTATACTGGGTGATGCCTCCGAGCATCTTGAGAGCTACTCCTACCAAGTTGGTCAATAGTGAGAGGTCAGACAAACTCAGTCTCCTGGTCCTCCAGGTTGGGGCGTTTGAAATGGGATGGCGTCCATTTCTGTAAAACTAAATCATTGCCACATCCCCGCTGCCTTGCGGACAGGCCTTTGAGCCAAAGGCTTTGGATGACGATCCTAGTCGTCCTCCTGTCTAGGTCTGGGCGCCCTGGCAGAATCTCAGCCCACATACAACCATGACATCTTCTTCAAACATAAACTTCATCCTGCATCGGCCGTCGCGCAAATTATCCAGGGTCGCCTTATCTGCTGCATACAGTAGGGCGAATAAGCAAAAACATGCTACTGCTGGCGCATCCCTTCTTTCTTTTCTACCTGTTTCTCTTACTCCCATCCCGACCCCCATTACTAACCTTCCTTCTATAATTCCCAGCTTAATTGACAGCAATCGAAGTGCCACTGGAGTAGAACCATCTGCAGTCAACATTCCCCCGCACCTATCGGCAAAAGTCCCTTATAAGACCACGCTATCCTGTTTCCATGGCGACATTCAATGTTCGCACTCTAAGACAAACATGTCAACAGGCTGCACTCGCACGCACCTTGGACACACTGGGTATTGATGTGTGTTGTGTGTCGAAAATAGGATCAATGACTTTAACGGGGTTATTGAATTAACTGCACCCGGCTTATCCTCTCGTTATTGGTTGCACGCATCCGGAGACGCCGATGCAGCACTCACAGGTCAAGCTGGTGTAGGTATCATTCTAAGCTCCAACGCTGTGCCATCGTTGGTTGATTGGATTCCGGTGAACAGCCGTTTATGTGCAGCCCGTTTGACGACATCAGCTAAGGTGAATTCACGAAGTAAAACAAAACGCTGTTTGTTTGTGATTTCCGCTTATGCTCCCACCGACTGCAGTTCTAATGCTGTCAAGGACACATTCTATCACGAACTGAACGCGCTACTACGCAGTGCTATTAGTTCAAATATTATAGTACTTGCAGGGGATATGAACGCACAAGTAGGGCGTCTGAACTCCTCAGAAGCTCAGCTAGGTGGTAACTGTGAGCTTAACTCCGAACGGACTGACAACAGTGAGCGTCTGCTGTAATTGTGTGCGGAGCACCAGTTGTTTCTTAGTAGCACTGCTTTTAGACACAGTGGGCGCCGAAGTGCCACTTGGCGTCCACCTGTAGCTGGCCAGCGATGGACCCAAATTGACCACATCGCCATAAGTTACAGGTGGCGCGGTTCCATCCTGGATTGCCACTCGTACTGGAATACCTGCGTCGACTCTGACCATGCCTTAGTGCGCTGTCGTTTCTCCATGAACTTTACCGGAAGGCGCACAAAGCGTCCCCTACGGTTGGCAACGGAGAAATTGTCTCAGTCCTCGGTCAGGCAGGCCTATCAAGAAGCACTGCATACCGAACTCTCTCTGTCTTGTCCTAATGACACTGAACTTCAGTGGAATAGGATCTCGGCCGCCATGCACGACGCAGGAGCATCTGCTTGCACTATCAGTCGTCACCGCACCAGTCACTGGATATCCGAGAGGTCCGTGAACCTGTTGGAAGCTAGAAGACACCTCCCGGCTGGTTCTGAACACAATGTGACCAGACGGACTA